TTGTACACTCTTAAGATATGTGTGCAGTTTATTGTATGTCAATCATAAAACTGTTCTTTAAAAGTACTTACCCTTGTGGAACTTGTATTTTACTGGGGAGGAGGTGTAATGACAATAAACCTGTATTTTGCATGTGTATATATAGGTGTGTATGTATCAGATGTTGAAAAGTCTTTTAAAGAAAAATAAAGCAATGTGAGGATAGAAAGTAATGGGGAGCGCAGCTGTTTGAGAGAGGAGGTCAGGTAAATGTAGTATCATGACATTTTAACAGACTAGTTTAAGCGCCCTGTAATCTTTTGAAAACTGTTTAAAGATTTGTTTCAGTTTTTTTAAAGTTTCAGGTGACCATTCTGTCTCTCATCTAAAAAGATAACAGCTTTCCCCTAACTTGAAGGCAGATTTAAGATTTACATTTCTGCCATCAGAAGGAACCATATGGGAAGGGTGGGCAGAGGTAAGCAAAACCTACTCCACATGCCCAATAGAAGCCCATTTCTGCTCGGAGAATTTCTTCTGGTTAATTCTTTTTTATTGAAAGGATGAGACCTATTTTTTGAACATTTGTAGAATGGTGAATCAGAAAGAAAGTCACAACCAGAATCCCAGTCTCCTACTTGCCTGCCAGAGAGGCAGTTATCCCTCAGTTTTCTAAAAGGAAAACCAAAAATTCTCCAGTCACTGTCATCGTTGGTGTTGTGTGCATGTGTATGATGCCAGTGAGGGACTTTAAAAATCATTGCTCTTGTGGAACTTTTATTTTATTGAGAAGGAGGTGTAATGGTGATGCATGTGTATATGTGTCAGATGTTGAAAAGTGTTGAAGAAAAACAAAGCAGTGTGAGAATGAGCTTTTGAATGAATGGAAGAGGGAAGATTTCCATCAGTGGAGTGAACTGCTTGCTTGTTTCCAGTCATCCTAAAAGAGCAGCTAGAAACATGTTCTGGTACCTTAGCAGCCATTACAGCTCATCAGTGGAACCTGAATTTGTTTCAGTTCCCAAAAAAGTGATTGCTAATGATACAGACTTTAGAATATCTGTGTACTGGGGGCATAGAGAAAGAATGTTAAAAAGAAAAGAAATTTAAAATGCTTTGTAACATGTGCTGCAAACTGAAATGTGGTGCTTTATTTCGAAAAAATGCTTTTAATTCTGCTCATCCCTTGGTTTTCTAAAACATAGTCTGAAAATCCTAAAGATGCCACCAGAAAACTAGTAGAGTTAATCAATGAATTTGGTAAAGTAGCAGGATATAAAATTAATGCACAGAAATCTCTTGTATTCCTATAACTAACAACGAAAAGTCTGAAAAAGAAACTAAGGAAACACTGCCATTTACCATTGCAACAAAAAGAATAAAATACCTAAGAATAAACCTACCTAAGGAGACAAATGACCTGTATGCAGAAAACTATATGACACTGATGAAAGAAATTAAAGGCGGTACAAACAGATGGAGAGATATACCATGTTTTTGGATTGGAAGAATCAACATTGTGAAAATGACTGTACTACCCAAAGCAATCTAAAGATTCAATGCAATCCCTATCAAATACCAATAGCATTTTTCACAGAACTAGAACAAATAATTTTAAAATTTGTATGGAAACAAAGGCCCTGAATAGCCAAAGCAATCTTCAGAAAGAAAAACAGAGCTGGAAGAATCAGGCTGTCTGACTTCAGACTATACTACAAAGCTACAATAATCAAGACAGTATGGTACTGGCACAAAACCAGAAATATAGATCAATGGAACAGGATAGAAAGCCCAAGATAAACCCACGCACATATGGTCACCTTATCTTTGACAAAGGAGGCAAGAATATATAATGGAGAAAAGACAGTTTCTTCAATAAGTGGTGCTGGGAAAACTGAACAGCTACATGTAAACGAATGAAATTAGAACACTCCCTAACACCATACACAAAAATAAACTCAAAATGGATTAGACACCCAATAGTAAGCCTGGACACTATAAAACTCTTAGAGGAAAACATAGGAAGAACACTCTTTGACATAAATCACAGCAAGATCTTTTTTGATCCACCTCCTAGAGTAATGAAAATAAAAACAAAAATAAACAAATGGGACCTAATGAAACCATAAACAAGATGAAAACACAACCCTCACAATGGGAGAAAATATTTGCAAATGCAGCAACTGACAAAGGATTAATCTCCAAAATATACAAGCAGCTCATGCAGCTCAATATCAAAAAAACAAACAACCCAATCCAAAAATGGGCAGAAGACCTAAGTAGACATTCCTCCAAAGAAGATATACAGATTGCCCACAAACACATGAAAAGATGCTCAACATCACTAATCATTAGAGAAATGCAAATCAAAACCACAGTGAGGTATCACCTCACACCAGTCAGACTGGCCATCATCAAAAAATCTACCAACAATAAGTGCTGGAGAGGGTGTGGAGAAAAGGGAACCCTCTTGCACTGTTGGTGGGAATGTAAATTGATACAGCCACTATGGAGGTTCCTTAAAAAACTAAAAATAGAACTACCATATGACCCAGCAATCCCACTACTGGTCATATACCCTGAGAAAACCATAATTCAAAAAGAGTCATGTACCACAATGTTCATTGCAGCTCTATTTACAATAGCCAGGACATGGAAGCAACCTGAATGTCCTTCGACAGATAAATGGATAAAGAAGATGTGGCACATATATACAGTGGAATATTAGTCAGTCATAAAAAGGAACAAAATTGAATTATCTGTAGTGAGGTGGGTGGACCTAAAGTCTATCATACAGAGTGAGGTAAGTCAGAAAGTGAAAAACAAATACCGTATGCTAATGCATATATGTGGAATCTAAAAAAGCGGTACTGATGAACCTAGTGGCAGGACAGGAATAAAGACACAGATGTAGAGAACTTACTTGAGGACACAAAGGGGGGGAATGGGAAGCTGGGATGAAGTGAGAGGGTAGCATTGACGTATATACACTACCAAATGTAAAATGGATGGCTAGTGGGAAGCTGCTGCATAGCACAGGGAGATCAGCTTGATGCTTTGTGATGAGGGTGGGAGGGAGGCTCAAAAGGGAAGGGATATGGGGATATATGTATACATATAGCTGATTCACTTTGTTGTACAGCAGAAACTAACACAACATTGTAAAGCAATTATACTCGAATAAAGATGTAAAAAAAATAAATAAAATAACATGAATTGAAAAAACACATTGGAGAATAATTTAAAGATTTTTGTCTTATTTAACATAAATTTGGTGACAGTAACAGTGGAAAATGCATTGAATGATGCCAGTTGTGTATTTGTGTCTGTAAAATTTTTATAAAATATACTAATTTCTGTCACTCTGTTTTCCATTTTTCTATCTGAATGGTATTCATCAGAGCACATACTCTGACTCCACGCCCTGAGTCTGGGCTTCCTATGTTAAAAAGAAACCTGTAGGCTCTCACCTGTGAGGCTGGAGCCCTGAGAATCAGGAGCCCCCCTCCCAGCCAGTCCCTTCCCAGGTAGCGGAAGTGGAGGCTCACATGGCTCAGGCTTCTGTCATCTCCAGCATCCCAAGACTTTCCCCCATCCCATGCCTGCTGCTGGTCAGAGGCGAATGAGTCCAGTTCTCTCAATCCTGGAGCAGTTACTCTTAATCTTTGGGGTCATGGTTCCTTTTGAGGAATGGGATAAAATCTATGGACAAAACGCTTGCACGTCACTTCGGGGGCTGCCAAGAACCCCTGTTCCAGAGGGTTTCAAGTAAGCAGAGTTATATTTCTCTGCCGCCAAGTATAGAGGCAGCACTCAATCTGTGACCTATGTAACAACTGTGTAGGTAACAGCTGTTATCAAATTGCACTTTTAATAATAACCTGTTCAGCTAGGCACCAGGAAGAGCTAGAGAAAGCCAGCAAGGTTGCGCTTTTCCCACCCTAGGAAGAGCCTACATTTTGTTTCAGCCCAAATCCATCGGTTTTGTATGTATTTTACTAGGAAAAAATATTAGGACAGACTTTTCAGTATCCTCTTCCCACCCTATTTTTTATTTTCTGCTTTTTTTTTTAACATCTTTATTAGAGTATAATTGCTTTACAATGGTGTGTTAGTTTCTGCTTTATAACAAAGTGAATCAGCTATAATATACGTACATTCCCATATCCCCTACCTCTTGCGTCTCCCTCCCACCCTCCCTATCCCACCCCCCTAGGTGGTCACAAAGAACTGAGCTGATCTCCCTGTGCTATGCGACTGCTTCCCACTAGCTATCTATTTTACATTTGGTAGTGTATATATGTCCACGCCACTCTCTCACTTCGTCGCAGCTTACCCTTCCCCCTCCGCCTGTCCTCAAGTCCATTCTCTACATCTGCGTCTTTATTCCTGTCCTGCCCTTAGGTTCTGCAGAACCTTTTTTTTTTTTTTTAGATTCCATATATATGTGTTAGCATACGGTATTTGTTTTTCTCTTTCTGACTTACTTCACTCTGTATGACAGTCTCTAGGTGCATCCACCTCACTACAAATAACTCAATTTCGTTTCTTTTTATGGCTGAGGAATATTCCATTGTATATATGTGCCACATCTTCTTTATCCATTCATCTGTCGATGGACACTTAGGTGGTTCCTTAAAAAACTAAAAATAGAACTACCATATGACCCAGCAATCCCACTACTGGGCATATACCCTGAGAAAACCATAATTCAAAAAGAGTCATGTACCACAATGTTCATTGCAGCTCTATTTACAATAGCCTGGACATGGAAGCACCCTGTTCTTTGGTTCTCAATTATTCTGTTTCACATAATCCCTCAAATATAATATAGAACAACCAGGTACCTACTGTTCTGTGTTTAGTCTTGACTGTGAAGCCAAATACCACATCTACCTTACACAGTCACTGAGCAGTCTAGCCTCTTGCACTATTCATTTAGTATTTGCTCTCTAATTTTATCCTAGAAATGAATTTTCCTAAACTGAAGTCTGTTAACAGTACTCTTTTGCTTCTTACAGCTTGTACCTCCTTTTAAGCCTCAAGTAACATCTGAGACAGACACCAGATACTTTGATGAAGAATTTACAGCTCAGACTATTACAATAACACCACCTGAAAAGTGTAAGTAAATCTAGAAGGAAATTGATTATGTTCTAATGCAATTGAAGAAAACAGCCTTTTTTTATAACTGGATATTTTCAAGGTCAAATTCCACAGTGACTTATTCTGTTCCATTTAAGAACATGGGGTTTTCAATGTGGAAATATCTAAATACAGGTAGCTAAGAGAAAAGTTTTTTTGAGTAAAAAAAAATTATATATGGAAAAATTGTAGAGTTAAGAATTATAGACTAAATTATAGACTAACTAGCCCTTCCTTACTATTCTCTAATAGATTATTTTGACATCAGCTGAAAGGATTCTGAAATGAAGACCTCCCACATTTCCCACTGCTCATTCAGACACAACCTTCTAAATTTTGCTAATTCTGGTCTCCTGCTTACTTAGTAGTCTTTAAATTCACTGTAAACTGAATCACTCTTTTTTACTTAGCTGTGTCTTATGCAGTAATATCTGTGAAGACATAATTTGGTTTGCTAGTAATTTTTGATATTATAAATTAAATTACATATCTATTAAAACTATACATTCATGCACCACTTAAAATCATTCCACATATACTAGTGTGTGCCCTACACTTTGGTGAAGACATTTCACTTAAAGGGAAGAAAAGGTTGTTATATAATTTATAAACATTCTCATATGCTGACAGAGGTCTGTATTCTGTCTTCATTAGTTAAGCAGTAAGGATAAAATTGAGTTTCAGGGACACATTTGGATAGCTAAAAGATTTCTTCAATCACACATCTTTTGGCTCACAATAACATCATTTTAGTTTTTTTCTCCTTTTCTTTTTTATTATATCCTTTCCTACATTCCTTCTCCTCTCTTTTCTTTTTAAAAGGCAGATTAGGGGCTTCCCTGGTGGTGCAGTGGTTGAGAGTCCGCCTGCCGATGCAGGGGACACGGGTTCGTGCCCCTGTCCGGGAAGATCCCACATGCCGCGGAGCGGCTGGGCCTGTGAGCCATGGCCGCTGAGCCTGCGCGTCCGGAGCCTGTGCTCCGCAACGGGAGAGGCCACAGCAGTGAGAGGCCCGCGTCCCACAAAAAAAAAAAAAAGGCAGATTAGTTGATGGTGCTAATTTACACTGAGTATCCATGAGAGGGAAGATTAAAGTGCTGTTTCAAGTGTGGATGTAGTGGATTGATTACAGCATTGAAAGGCAAACCAGGAGTCATCTAGGCCAAGAGTTTTTAACCTGAGACCCAGGGCCTGACAAAAAGAGAGACTATGAACACTGTGAAATGAAAAATATAATTATGTGTGCATATGTACTTTTCTTTCTTTAGACTTGCAAGAGGTTAAGAGCCTCTTAACTTTCATTTTATAAGGGAAGACATTAAAACCCAGAGAGAAGCTGAGCTTCCCTAAGTCCCGCAGTTAGTGTTAGCTGTAGTCACGAGCAGCAGTTATAGCTTGGCCGACGAGGCCCAGGTCAAGCTGTGAAAGGGCAGCATGTTGAAGCGCTGCTCATGGTTTGTCACCAGTGGTGGGTGAGGGCTTCATTGCTAGAATCAGAATCTCTGAGAGTTGAAGATGATGTTAGAAAGCCTGTGGAGTTGTGGGCAATCAGCTAAGGACCGTCTAAGTAGGAGCAGTGGGCGTAGCCTTGACATGGTTTCCCCTGGCCCGGCGCGGGCTGTGGTGATACAATTGTCTGAAATTCTGGGCAACACCGCTGAGTTGTTGGACTGGCCTAGGAGTACTTCCCACCATAGAGCCTCATCGTTTGGATATAACCTTAATTGTAATCAGACCACATTGTTCCCCTGCTTCAAACCTTCCAGGGGCCCCACTGCTGCACTCTAAATCCAACTGCTCACACCGGCTGCACAGCTCTGTCACATCTGGCCCCACCCTGCTCTCAGACCTCATCCTGTCCATCTTCTCCACAGTCCCTGGGTTCCAGCCCACCTTGAACACACTGTGCCTCACTGTGCCTTGGGACTGTGTGTTTACTCTTCTCTGCCTAGAATTCTCTTTCCCCAGACATATGCATGAATAAATTCTTACTTGTCCTTCAGATCTCTTTAAATGTCACTTTATCAGAAAGCTTTCTTTAGCCTCCCGACCTTAAAAACAGTGCAGTCCATCAGACCCCATCACCACCCGCCCCCGCCAATTCTCTACATTGACACCTTTACTTGCTGGTATTCTTCTGGTTCATTTGTCTCTTTGTTTACTGTCTGTTTCTCCAGCTTGAGTGCAGTAGCTCTGAGAAGAAGGATTTGGTTTGTCTTATACACTGCTAACCCCAGCTCCGAGTTAGGTACCTGGCTCAGCGTAGGTATTCAATGAATATGTGTTAAATGAGTAAATAAACAGATTATGGCGAGGCCTGGTAGTTTCAGGGCCAGAAGGAGGCCCGACTCTCTCCAGACAGTGCTGTTGCCCATCACAGCCCAGAATTTGTGTTTGGCTTACCTCCTCACGTGATTTCACAGGGAGCTTTGGGAAGTTAAATAGCGCTTTTGGTATTTGTGGATTCTAATTCTTAGAACAAACTAAATGTGCTATTTTGAAAGTCATAGAAATAGGTAGGCTGTGTAAATAAATGCAAAGCCATGAGTGCATATTTTACTCCAAAATGTTAACAGTAAAATCCCAGTGTAGAAGAGAATGATGGGATTGCAGAAAGCCCTGGACTTAGACCCTGCTTTGTGTCCTGGCTCTGCCCCTCACTAGCTCTGGAATGTGACAGGTCAAAGGGGAGTGCAGGGCTGATAATTTCCAGGAGCCCCGTCTTTCCCCTGTGTGTGCCTGAGAAGCCATCTCTTTAGGAAAGGCACCCAGAGTTCTCTATAGGTTTCAATAACCCTATTTTTAATTTTATTTAAGCATCAGGTTAACCAATCCACAGTGTTCTTTGTTCTGTGACCCACTAGGTGAAGGGTGATGGTAGGTAAATACCTAGCAAAAAAGAGTGGACATGGGGCTGGGGATGGGGGAGGGACCACTAAACTATGCTGCTAGCAGTGAGGAGTGGCCCTGGCCTGATGCTGGGCCCTAGGTGGCCCAAAAACGTGCATCCAGCAAGCATCGTCTAGACTGACAGCGTGTACCACAATCTAGAGGCAGGGGGACCCTGTGGAGCTGCCAACTTATTTTCCAATTCAGGATTTCTAGAGAGAAAAATCAGGGGAAGGAGCTCAGCAGGTGGGCTGAGGCCAAGGTGTGGAAACCAGCAGCCTGTCCTTTGCAGCTCCCAGCACCAGGCCACAGGGCTGGCCTCCTGCCTTAGGCAGTAGCCTCAGTAATTGTGGACTGCAGCACCTGGGTTCTTCCAGGGCACAAGGACAGTGTTTTTTCTTGGATTATCCCTGGGTATATCCTAAATTCCCATAAGAGGCAGATCAAAGGAAAATCTGTGAAGCCTTGAACTGTGATTACATTTAACATAATCTTTTCTTCTTGCAGCTTTGAATAGTGTTGCTGGTGAGAGACCACTGCAGCTCTCAAGCTGCTAAAAGCACAGAGGTTTTGTTCATAAAAACCCACAGTAGGACCATTAAGTTAGCGATTGTCTTCCCACTTGCCACCTTGCTTTTATAAAACAGAAAGGAGCTGTTTTTTAGAACAAATCAGCAGTTAGAAAGGCAAGTGTTCCTTTTTTACAAACAGCTGCAGTAACATGCCAGATTTTCCTCACTGGTGTTAATTAATTGAACAGATTTTGGAATGTGTCATCTTGCATTATATCCATTAATGGTCCTCTGGCTTCCTCTTAGAGGAAAAGAGGATTTGTTTGAGCTCCTAGTAGCTTTTGCTGCCATATAATTACTTTGGTTAAATGCTCTAAGGAAGTTAGGCGACTAATGCTGCCTGGATCCAGGGATTCAGAGGTAGAATGTGGGGTTGATCCCCCTGTTTTCTTTTCCCGCATGTGTGCTATTTGGGTTTTTTTCATAGTTCATGTCCATCATCATCACTGTTCCCTCTGAACCTTCCTTCAGTTCAGGAACGCGTTTATATCCGTTGACTGGGTGTGAAGGCCTGGCTGGGGCAGCCGGCTGTCCTGTCAGCTGTCACTCGCATCCAGCTCTCCTCCTTCCACAGCCCCGCTGGCCTGCGCAGCACTGAGGGCCCAGGGGAAACCTTCATTCCTGCCCCAGCACCTTCCCAACTCACAGCTCCTCTTGGGGCCACGATCAGAGACTTGCCCCTCACTACTGCCAAGCTCAAAAGAACAGGAGGGAGATGGAGTGAGAGGGTGATATAATTGAGTGAGAGGGTGATATAATTGACTTTAAAGAAGATCCAGATGCAGGGGCCCTCATATGGTCAACAAGATTTAGATTTACGTTCGGAAATGGGATTAATTTGTTACTAAATTGACAGAATGAAGATTCTCTTTTAACTTTCAGCTGACAGTGCAGCCTCATAGCAATAATACTCCTTGGAAAGGAAATTCAACCCCTCCTCCTGTCGAGAGCCAGGCTGCCCTGGGCTTCAGGCCTCCCTGCCCCTGGTGCGATGCCTGGTTGCAGCCCAGCGAGCTGGACAAGCCCTTCCCTGGCAGACAACACCAGGCTTCCCACATGTGCTGTCTGTTCGCTGTGCAGAAACACACCCAGCAAAACAAAGCTGCTAGCGGGGAAAACTATTCCTTTGAAATGTGATTGGCACGTGTCAGAGTCTGAACATTAAGATTTCAGCTGCTTTTCCCCTAGAGAGTTTTTACAGAGTTTTACAGAGGTTTTATATGCCATCCACAGCTCCTACCGTCTTTAGTATATCTGAAAATACTGTGGAAGGTGTTTGACCTAAAAGATGGTTTGCTTGGTACCTAACTGGTATTTTATAAGGAGGCAGAGATTTCCCCAGATCGCAGTACTATCTGGAAATGAGGACTATAGTTTAAAAGGTCTGTTTGCAGGAGGGAGGTTTACACAGAGCAGGGAGCCTCAAATGCTACTTGTGAGATTGAGTCCCACCTAATACAGTGATACTTTCTGGTACACTCAAGGCTACAAAGTTTGGTTAGCAACTTGATCCCATTTCCAGAATCTTCTATTAAAAATAGAATACTGAAAAGAACAGGGAGAAAAGAGCATGAATGTTTGTTATTCTTCAGAGGCATGCAAAGCATCATCCTTTTGGTGTAACAGGGTCAGTGCCCGTGATGCAGTGGGGTCTGTCCTGTATTCCTTCTCCTATTACATGAAATTGATGCTCCCTGGAGAGGTTGGAAAATTAAAAGAATTGGTAATGTACTTCCTATATGAATTTGAGGAAGTGGAATTATTTTGCTTGAAGAACGTTGGGTATTTGAAAGACTCGCTTATTTCCTGTAGCACAGCATATGACCAAAGGCACTGCAAGTGGAGCAGAGGGGTTTAGTGGGGTGAGCCCCGACGACACAGGGAGGGACTTTGCGCAGAGCCCAGAACAGGGAACGTTGTGGACTGAGCGACTGAATTCATGACACATGTAAAGGAAGAGCATTCTGACACTGCAAGATTTTAATCATCAGAATAGTTATAGGAAGAGGTTGGGTGATCCTTCGTAACCTTTCAAATGCAAGAAAACAGGGAAGAGGAAAAGGGAGGAGCAGCTTAAATGGAAGTCGTCTCTTTCCATGCCTTTCAAGTCTCCCAATTTGTTTCCTGATGAACTAATACTTAGATGCTGGCCTCTTTCCCTCTCTTTCCTTGACTTATTCTCTTTAATCTACTTTAAAGTTTTTTTTTGTTTTTGTTTTTGTTTTTTTGCGGTACGAGGGCCTCTCACTGTTGTGGCCTCTCCCGTTGCGGAGCACAGGCTCCGGACACGCAGGCTCAGTGGCCATGCCTCGTGGGCCCAGCTGCTCCACGGCACGTGGGATCTTCCCTGACTGGGGCACGAACCCGTGTCCCCTGCATCGGCAGGCGGACTCTCAACCACTGCGCCACCAGGGAAGCCCTCAAGTTTTATCATAGGAAAATTAGGAACAGTAAGTTAAGGCAGATATTAGATGTAGAATAAAGAATGTAAAATCTTAAACATGTAAATCAAGGGCTCAAATGAAATGGAATCCTAATAAGCTTTATTTTGCAATCACACCTAAAGCACCATGAAGAAGAAATGCAAGCATCTGAAGACAGATTGATACTGGATTCTAGGCAGATACTTTGGGTGCCTTAGGATTCTTTGACTTTGTAACTTTGACATGCATGTTTTCATGAAAGTAAAGGTTATGGAAGATCACTTGTTCCTTTTTATTTTTAAAAATCTTGTCTTCTTCAATAGTTTTTCACAGTTTGAGCCTTGAGATGTTAGTGTCTTGAAGGAGATGATTGGATAGTATTATTTCTTCATAGGTCATGTGTTTGAAAGTGAGAAAGTTTTTGAAATAAGTGTATCCATCCTATGTTTTATTGATAAACACAAGTTTCTGGGAGCTGTTGCCTCCGTTAATCTTTATTACGTTAGGGATTAGAACTATATATACCAGAGATTATGTCGCAAAAAGTTAATGTAAAATTAAAATAGCTGTTTCCTGCCCACAGACGATGAGGACGGTATGGACTGCACGGACAGTGAGAGGCGGCCGCACTTCCCTCAGTTTTCCTACTCTGCAAGCGGACGAGAATAAGTCTCTTCTGCTACTTCACTGTCATCTTAGATTTATTACTGAAAATGATTCCTGGACATCACAGCAGTCCTAGCTCTTACAAATGCAGGAGCACCTTCAGACATCCCAGACCAGTCCAAGGTCTTCACCCCTCGCCGCCTTTCACCCACATGAGAACACACATATATGCAGACATACTCGACTTTTGTTTTTGCATGAAATTGTATCTCAGTCTAAGGTCTCATGCTGTTGCTGCTACTGTCTTACTATTATAGCAACTTTAAGAGGTAATTTTACAATCTTTGGAAGTCATGAGCCCACCGTTGTTCATTTGTGCACCAACTGTCACCTTTGATCTTTTAATTTTCGTTTTTCCCTAACAGTGAAGGCTAAATGATTCTAGGTATATTTTTTAACTTTCTAGACGATAAATCAAAAACTAATTAGACTAAGAAGATTTAGTTTATAGTTCAGAACAAGCAATTGTGGAAGCGTGGTGATGTGCATATGCAAAATTTTAGTAAAGCATATCAGATCAGTGCGTAAAATAGGTATGTATCAGTAAGATCCTACTGGAATTCATTAGGAAGCATTTGAGAGAAGGAATGAACAACTATTAAGATAGATATATACATTTATAAATTTAAATTCTTATTCGATACTGCAGAGGAAGCCTGATATTACATGTGGATGTCCAGATTTCACAGGCAGTTGTTGGCAAAGGAACATTGTTCGACCAAGGAAGGAAGCATATGCACAGCAGGGTAGGTCACTTAAAGGGTCTACGATATGATTTGCACCAGAGAGCGTTTTATTTCCCCTGTTCTTGGAAACCTTTTTCCCTTCTTGATATTATCACCTCTGATGGCTGAAGAATGTAGACAGGTGTAATGATCCTGCTTTTCACCAAAATTTGTACACCAAGGTAAACAGGTGTTTGCCTTATTTGTTTTAATTTTTTACTTTCAGTTCTACGTGAATTAGCTTTTTCTCGGATGTTAAAACTTTGAATGTCCTTTTATGATTTTGTTTATGTTGCAGTAGTATTTATTTTTTAGTGATGAGAATTGTATGTCATGTTAGCAAATGCAGCTCCAACTTAACATAAAACAGACTTAACTGCAGTTTCTTTTGACCCATGTGCAAGGAATGTACACGCCGATGAGAATCATGCACTTTTTCTCCTATGTAAAAACAAAATTTTGATGAGGCTCTGAAATTGTACATATAGATTAGAATTTGGCTTTAGGAGAAGAGATGCTGTCATTTAACCCCTTGGTGCTAAAAATGAGAAATCCCCAACTATCCATGCCAAGGGGTTGAAACAAATGGATGTTATATTTGCTCTTTTGAGAATTGAAATATTATGACGGCCTGGCAACATAATGTAATGAAGAAAATTGAGACCTGGATGATAAGAAATGAACTTTACTTGGCAAAATGAACACATCTCAAGTATTTACGAAGTGGGCAGTAAAGGATAAGGACCTGGTGTGTTTATTCTGATCATGGTACATTTATCACTGAATTAAGCCATCAGGGAAAAAACAAAACAAAAAAGAACACCTCCAACTTTTCTTTTTCTGTATATACTCATGTCCTCAAATTCCGACACTTCTCACTGAAAGGGGACATGTATGCAAACCTCATCTTTCTCTTTCATTGATGATGATCTTCAGATTAAACCCTTTGGTGCTAGGAGCTGACATTTTCCAAAGCAGCCTATGAAGTCCAGGGGGCTCCTGACTCCGTGGAGCCATCGTGGAGATGTATTTTCGTTAAACTATCTGACAGCTCCCAAATGGAAGACTACAGCATGGCGTAGTGTACGAAAGAGCAAGTGACTTTCTAAGTAGGATGAATCATATTCATATGCAGATGTCTTAGCCTCTGGACGCTGGAAGTGTGGGTTTACAGATATGAAACCACTGCTGGCAGTGGGTGGACCACTGGGACTGACAGGGGGTTAAAGGGCATTTTACTAAGGCAGCTAAGACATATTCAGACATAGATTTTATCCTAATTTTTCATATTTCTACCTGAGTGAAGTTCATCCTTAGTACTGAGTAGGAAGTTACAGTAAAATGGTAGTTCATTCTTACTTACACATATAGCTCAACTTTTTTTTTTCACTTGGAATTATGTTGAATGTTTCACTTTGACAAGAAAGTAGACTAGAAGGTATGTCCTGTAAGTTGTCTTGCATCCATTATATAAAAAAGGAACAGGTGAGAGGAAGAGAGGAAAGCTGAGACTGGCTGGTATTCAGAGCATTCATTTCTTCAGAGGGAAAGTATACCATACACTAAGCACACAGATAGTTTTGGGGTTTTCCCCCCTCCCCAAATCTTAAGGTGATTTCCATGACCTTGGCCAAGGACACTTCCTAAGGATTAATGACAGCGTTGACTGTGCCTCAGGCTGGCCACTCTGCACAGCTGGCTCTCCGTCCCCAGCTGGTGCCCGGGGCTTAGTCCCGTATCCCCTCCGAGATTCTGTTAGCGTCACACAGGGTGTGTTGTTGGCTTTGATTTTTAAGAATCCCTTACTTTCACTCCCGGATCTCAGTCAGCTGGCATGGAAAAACAATAGAAAACCAGAAATGTGTGTAGAAGGAGATTCTAAAACTTCCCTCATGTCTGCCCATAGCTGAAGTTTCGGATTCTGGTGGACGGAAAGGCCTGGCCCTGGAATCACTCTGTCAGAATAGCAGAAGTTCAGGCTTTGCAGACTCCTTCCTGTACCAACTTCCTTGAAGTCTGCCTCTTGCCATGATGCAGCCATCTTGGAGGAAATTGGCCGTCTCTGCTTGGACCTTTGGCAGGGCTGCTCACAGCTTTGCTTTCCACACTAACTACATAGCATTATTCCAGTGTTTTCCATTTCCCATACCTGATTTCCAGCTTCTTAAAGCTGACTGTTCTTGCAAGGGCCACTTGCTTCTCTTAGAGTACAAAGTAAGGGCCTTCCTTACTAACTGCAGGGTCTTTCTATTACACCTCAGCGTACACACTTTGCTGCTACTGTTTGTACTGTGTCTACAGTAGAACTCCCTTATCTTGCTCCTGGTACTGCATTACAGGCAAGCATGAAATGTAAAGTATTTATTTAAATAAGAAGAAAACCTCTAAATTGGTAATTGAATTACCTCCCTGTAGCTTTATAGTTTGTGACATTTCTTGACCTTGCTAGTTCTTTCATTAGATCCGCGCAAGATCTAGTCATCTGGTTAAGGATTTCAAGCAGACGCAACTATGAACCCAAGAAACTGTATTACTATTACTGTTGGTCATACTAAAACTGTTTATTTCCTTAAGTATATGACCCACAAGGATGTGAAATAACTACAAGAAACTGTTTTTGTACACTGTACATCCTTAGTATTTTTACACGTATATGATAGGGATGCACATTATTTTCCTTCGTACAGACAGCTTAAATAAAGCACTATGTCAATCTGCTACTTCTCTGTTTATTGTTGTTGGATGTGGTTCCGTAATCTCAGAAAATTAAATATTATTCTTTTCTAAAAAAAGATGAATGGCGTCACCTGGTATTAACCCATTCTATATAAAGTGTGACAGGAAAGTATGTACATTTCTTGTAGCTCAAAACACACACAGGATTTATTTTATTACTTCAATAAAATGGCAGTAATACAACTGTACAAACTTTGATGAAGGGCTGCTTCCAAAGGGGGGATGCTGACTTCCCAACAATGGGTTTAGGAGAGATCTGTGAAGCTGGAGATAGAATAGGTATTTTTTGAGATTTGTTAAGCCCCTAGTAGTCCTCCCACCAGGTGGTTTGGACCCAGAATTCTTAAGGAATGTAGCTCATCAGTAATGTCTTCCTGATAATGTGTTGCGCTGCATACTTCCTTTCTTAGAGTATATTTTTAAAACGTCATGGCAAATTAACCAACTGAAACGTGGGTAATAGATGGGCAGGATGGTTGGACTACAGTCTGATTTACCTAGGGTCATTTTTCTGATTTTACCTCATAAACCTAAATACTATTGGAGAAACTTGGCTTTGCTCCTGTGACTATGCCAGATAGAGGAACGGCTTTGGGACCAAAGTTGGTCAAGCATGTTATGTGTATGTCACACAGCCAAACTGGAGGGCATTCTTACATGTGCTCTTCGCTCAAAACCACTGGGGTGGACAGATCCAGGAGGCTAACATAAAGTGACCTCTATAATTCTTTAAAGGTGCTATTTTTAGAATATTGTATAATTTATTTCCTGTTCCTGAAACAGAATTAGGGACAATTAATATATCTTATGTGACAACCTTTATGTCTAGCACACTTGATGAAATCAAAAAAACTTCTGAATCTGAATAGAAGTTCTATTCTTTCAGGCTTGAACCTTGTCCATGCTCGAGAGACTCAATGGTCTTAGCGGGTGTATCATCCCACCGCCTCCAGAGCCCTAATCCACATCCTTCTGAGAGACCATGAAGAGGATGTGATGTGATGTGATGTGATGACAGATCCGTGCCAGGGAGAACAGCCTGAGGTCAGGGACTTGTCCCGACTGCAGCCTTGCCCTTAGTGTTCCATTGTCATCCTCAAGGACAACACAACACTTACAGCGCCCATTTTTATTACTTTAAAGCACTTGAGGGCTTCATTGTGAATAGTAGAAATACTATGTTAAACTAAAATGACGATCTGTGTACAGATGTTTGATAGAAGTAAATTTTGTAATTTCACTGAGTACATTTTTAGCCTCCTCTCAATTACTGCATATTGAAGAAGAAACATGACACCACCAAGCCAAAGATGCTTTTTGTCTGTTTTTGTTGTTAACAGAGTGGAGAGGATAATGCCTAGTGCTTCCTGGTGTCTTCTGACTGTGCGCAAATTAGCAGGATGATAAATAATGGAGTCTTATGGGATGTCGATTAAAAGCAAATAAAGTTGAAGGATAATATATATAGATCTCTCCAAGAGGGAAAGAAACACAAATGGCAGGAAAAAACGTTTGGTCCTTAATACCGTTTAGCCTAGTAAAAATATGTGCCTTTTTTTGGTGTGTTTTTTTTTCATCACTACAAGATAAAAAGGAAACATTTCAAGTCTTCAGAAAATTCATTTATTGAAATTCACATGTGTAACAAAGCATACAAATGAGCAGATATAAAAACATAATAACTTCGAGCCTTTTCTGAAAACATACACCAGGAGGTCTCCTCATCTAGTGTCAGACTTCAGCTCCAGCCCATCCATCCTGCAGGGACCGCTTGGCAACGAATGTGGCGGTGATGACGCAGCCCATCGCAGTCTAAGGTGGGGTCCGCTGGGAAGGTCGTGGTGCATTGTGGCATATTACGTATAAATCAGATGAATGTAAATATCTCTTTGTAAATCATTTATTTCACTGTTTCATCCAGGTCAGCAATCAGATTGTGGCATGCTGGGTAACTGGAAAAAATGATAATAAAAAGTAAGTTTAAATAGATCATGTTCTTCAATGTGATTTGTCTTCTCACTGGTTTAGTTACCTCTTTCTAAGTTTTTGTAAAAAATTCTTATGCAAAAATTATAGAAATTGTACGTAACCAACTGTATGAAAAGTTTGTAGGAATATAAGGTGAACTCTTCTAATGCTTTAAATCTGAAGACACGCTATATTCCAGACCTCTACATGTCTCTTAAATAAGGGTGGTCTGATGACAGGACACACCTAAAGAGCCATCTCTTCCCCCATGGACAGGAGAAAGGAGACACTGATTCGTGCCAGAATCTGTTTACTGAAAATTGCTCAGACATTACAGTGAGTAAAACTGGACAAAAAAACAGGATGTGGATAGACCAAGTGTCCCTAAGAAATTCCTGGTTAAATGATAACAAGCTAACACCTCCAAATGTTTAGATGCAGACAGTGTGTTTTAACATATATAAAGGCATTTTCACATGGAAACCACCTACCACATGCTGGAAGAGGGAATTTAGTGTGTGTCCTCTCCTAGTTTTAAACAGGAATAAATGTTTCAAAACTAGCTCATGAAAATTGGGTTGAGGGAGTCGCAAGTTAGGAAAGTACTGCTACCTGCCCTAGCGGATGTCGGATGTGGCTGTTCAAATTAGTTTAACCCACGTCAGGAAGTGGTGTCAGAAACCACTGGAAATAGTTACATTGCACAGGACATTTCTCGAGTACCTACTGTGTCCTGTGTGGGAAGATGATTCAGACACGGTCTTTGCCCTCCAGGAGTGTGAAGTCACCAGGATGGTAGAGACTAGCTAGAGGGCCAGGATGATAACTACCGAATCCCAGTTCTCACTTCAAGAGATGAATTGGAATGTAATGCAGGGACACGGGCCCCATCTGGTCTCTGTTTGGCTGGGTGAGAATCATCTTCAAGAGAAACAAGTGGGCTCTGCACTCCCCAACAGAGATTTCCTGAATTAGAGAGGGCTCTTGTCTACCCAACTTAAGCCACGATTACTTGTGGAGGATTTCCAAGACAGGACGAGTGATCAGCGTTTCCAAGATCAGAGTTTGCACAAGAAAAATATGAAAATTAGCCTGTTATCTTTTTTAAAAAATGAGAAAACGTTTACATTTCAAGTAGATTTCCCAGCGTATGTGAGACACTCATGACTTTTTAGTGAGCAATTCTGTGGGTTTCGACACAGGGCAATTAGAGTATCGTGTGCAGCCCCTGCTCTCAGACAGTGGGGGGCCCCGGACGTGGTGAGGAAGTGAGTGGTGTCTGTGTGCATCTCTCTGGGGGTTTGGGAGGTGGATGGACCCTCCTTCGTGGCGCCCACGGGGCTCCTGGAGCATCACAAGGAAGCCAGGGAGCCCCAGGGCCCTGCTGCTGCAGAAAGGGCGCCCCTGTCCTCAGAGGCTGCCGCCAGCTCCATTTGCCCGTCAAACACAGGATCTCCAAGAGCTGATTTGCCTTCTGGTCCTGACTGAACTGATCCAGTGAATGACTGGCTTGAATGACCCTCCCGTCCCACAGACAGGCAGGCTGCCTGCCCACCGGGTGCTCTGGAAATGGTGGCTTACGTTCTAACTTTAGAGATTCGAGGGTGTCTTTGAATACGAGAATAAGCATAAACTGCAATAGGCACGTTTTCAAAAAAAAAAAAAAATTTTGACCTTGAGGTAGAAAAGACACATACGTGTAACACGTACAACACAGAACAGTGAAGACCTGAAGTAGAAGGGAAATGTATTGTGGGAATTTTTTAAAACCAAGCTCCAGGAAACGGGCAGTTCTCGCATGAGTCTTCACGGTTCCCGCCAGGAACTGCCCATCGCCTGGCCCAGTCCCTGCTGGTACTTGCCCAGGGGTCAGCCCACAGTTCTCTCCCGGGCTCCATCGGTTTTCTCTTTCATTTGGTTTTGGTGCAAAGCCCTGCATTCCTCCTCATAGTACTTACTGTTCACTGCCCGAGCCGTCGTGAGCATTCAGCAAATGGGACTGAATGAATCATGTACCCTATGTCACTGTCTTCCTGCTAAATAGCTCTCAGTGTCACCCTTGGATATCTGGATGTTTAGTAAAGAATGTTTCTCGGTTCTTCCCCTTAGGCAGGGAGCATGTCCAGAGAGACGGAATCTTTAGTTACTGCCAAAATCTGGCTCGTCTGCCATCACTTCTGAGGGACATGAGCCATGCCTATTTCCAGAAAGCTGGTTCACTGCCCACACCGCTGTGGACACCGTGAGGTCGGGCTGTAAGGGAGATGAGGGTGTGTGTGCCGATGGGACACAGCCAGTGTGAACCGTGGCTTGAGCCCTCAGCCACCGTGTTCCCGTCCCTGGACCATCACACTTGTCACCGAGGCCCCTTGCTGTGGCCCCCCTGGGTGGTGTGGCCACATCTGCAGTTGTCGGTGGCTGCCCTCCAGATTGAGGAGGGCTGACAGCACCCTGGCAGCTGCTCTTCTGCAGCGCTGTCCACAGATGATATAAATGCTCCCCAACTGCAAGCCCGCTATCAGTGACCCGTTTTCTTTGTTCTCGTTTTAAACCCTAACAGAACCTTCTCTCCACAAACCCTGACTTGTGTGTCTAATTTGTTTCCGAAGTTTAAATTCAAAGTTTAAAAAACGAGTCTCTCTGGGTGACCTGAATTGTTCCCCAAGCAGCCACACTGTGGGGTCCAGCCGAACCTTCTCTGCGGCTTCATTCCCAAGCCTGCAGCTCAGGGACGTCACGGCACCAGCTAGGCCCTACGCATACGGATGCACACGGTTCAGCCTGCCCCTTGTTTCCACCATGTGTCTCTTCTCTGTGCATCTCCACTGGCCTCTTAGCAGCCCCTCCCAATGGAATATCCCTCCTTCTTGCTTTTTCCCTTGTTCATTTGTACGTTTTCCGTCTCTGTGTGGCCAGGTTAAAAAAAAAAAAAAATGGACCTGTTCCTCATGCCTCTGGCAGAAAAGCATCTATTTTTAACTCAAGAAAGAAGGTAGAATCCCTCCCCCAACCTCTA